TTATTTTTTTTTTTTTTTATATGAAAATTTGTTGTTGTGTGCAGGAGGATTGGGTTTTATGCAAAGTATTTTTCAAGAAAGGGACAGAAACTCCAACCAGAATTCAAGTTGAAACTAAACCTTCCTCTCCATCTCTACCACCATTGATGGAACCTTATAACAACAACAGTATTAATGTTGCACTGAACCAAAGCAATGATGTTGTAAACAAACACGTGCCCTGCTTCTCCATTTACAGCACAAACACTACTTATGACATTAATCCATCGTTTATGAATGATTATCCTTTTCCATCCCGTGACAACGGAGTGATTAAGGTTGTTTTGAGCCAACTTGCAGAAATGGACGCAGCAAATGACTTTGGGGAAGGGAGCTCAGGCAGTTATCTATCTCAGGCCGTTTGGAACCCATATCCGTAAGAAAGCTCGCCAAGTTAAGTAGCTGAGGAACAAGAAATGATGATGGAGTGGAGTCTGTTTTTATGATTCATAGTGAAACCTGTGGTGGTTCAGAGGTTTCAGGATTGGAGTTTTGCAGCACAAGTGTCATATACAGAATTTACGTGGCTGTATGTTTAAACAATATATGTTATATAACTGGACATGTATGGATGTATATATTTGTATGTGTATATGTATGTATGTATGTATGTATGTAGTGATGGATCTACAAATTTTACTTAGGGAGCCCGATTTCCAATATTAAATAACGTGCTTGTAGTTTAAGTAGAAACACTCATTTCATATGAAAATGTGTTTATTTATAAATACAAATATCAACATGTGTACCATCAAGTTTTTAAAAACTTAGGATCCATATCACCCTCAAAATTTTAAACAACACATTGTTATAAAATTAGACATGTACGTCCATATATATATATAGGAATGTGATCAAATAAGAATAAAAGTTAATGATAAAAATGAGAATGATTATATACCATCCGATCTGTTCAAATAGTGGCTGAGGTTCAATCAATCATTTATTGAATGCGGTGGCATTGTCGTAATTGTATTCCAAATTTAAGGTAAATTTTATGTGAAAGAAGGCATAATCGTAAATTATCGGACTGACAATTCAAACAGTGGGCCCCACCCACCATTTCCATCCCAACTCATTCTCTTTCCCCTCTCTCCCTCTCTATCTCTCTTACATACATTCCCCGTAACCTCCATATTCAGCCACCATAAACCCCGCCGTAACCACCATATTCCGCCGCCGACGCATTGGGATTAGGGCTGCACACGCGAGCCGCTCGAGTAAAAGCGCGGCTCGACCGCTCGAGATATATGATAAATTACTAAAATACCCCTTATATATATAATTTGACAAAGTTGTTTGAAAATTTTCAAACCGAACTCGAGCCGAGCTCGAGCGTTTTGAATTCGAGTCGAGTTCGAACCTAAAAAATCGAACTCGAGCTTGAGCAGCTCAAAAAAAGAAAAAAATCAATCCTACTCGATAAGGCCAATACTCGACTCGGCTCGTTTGCAGCCCTAGTTGGGATTCACGGCGAGAGAAACCGCGTCCTGTTGCCGTCAACACTAACCCAGGCGCAACCATGACCCATCGCAAATACTAGTTTCCATCATCCCCATCGGTTCCACTGCCTGCCACCACATCCAGACACAAAGTCACTAGACCACCGCAGCCGCCAGATCGTCGTCAACACAGCCGTTGCCAGCCCGTCGAGTGAAGCAGACGGTGTGTCCGAGCGTGGCCATGGACCAACATTGAACCGCAGACGGTGAAACATGACACCGACGACAAGACTTTCGGTCATAACTTGTCTGCCCGCGGCCACGCAGCCGACAGTGCAATAATGGTTGCCGGTCGGATTTATTTTTTTTGGTGTTGGTGAATTGTTTTTGATTTGTGGAGTTTTGGTTGGAAAATTTGATATATTGTAGGGATTTGATTGCAATTTCTTAACTTTCAATATATTGTAATTTAGTGCTTGATACAAATTGGTGATTTAATAAAAGTCATAGGAACTTATTTATAATTTTAAAAATTTTAATATATTACAATTTAGTTCATCAGTAAAATTTATAATTTAACAATTTTTTAATAAATGCACAACAATATTTGGTTAAATGTACAATATATTGTGGGTTTGATTGATTTTTTCTTTTATTAATTAGATTTCATTTTAAGAAAATTGGTTGATTTAAGTTTGAGTGGAACTTTGAGTTTGTATTAATATAAAATTTAAAATAAAATGATTAACGTTGATTTGGTGTAAAAATATGAGAGATGTGATTCGAAATGATGTGTAGTTAAAATTATACGAGTGAATAAATGAATAGTGAATTAAATTTGATGTAATGCGTGATAATGATTGATTGATATCATTTAATTATTTTGATAATATTGATGGGAGATTAAATTTAAATTAGATATGAGTTTAAAAAGTGCTTGATTAAAATTTAAAATTAATTAAAAATTGATTGAAATTTCCATGTCCAGGCACCCTCTAACGGCCCAATGGGCCTCCAGCAAACGAAAAGGTAAAGACCACAAGCTTTCAGGAGATGATTCCGTCGTGTGCAGAAGACGAAGCTTTCTAGTCTCAACTTTCTGTGCTGCTACTCAAAATAGCACCTGTTTATGCTCCGAAATTGATAGGCGAAATAAAAATAATGGGTTCCTCTTTCCCGTTACAAACCCAGCATTCATCCTCAAGCTCCAAGATTTTTTGTCATCAGACATTCCGAAATTCTCCTTCGCCGCGAAGTTCAATTATGATTCATGCCTTACGTCCGTCCCCTGTGGAGCCCAAAAGAATTAGGGTTCGCTCGGAATTCGACGGGAAAGTCAATGGCTCCTTCTCCGCTGATTTTGATTCCCGCTTTCTTGACCGGGTTAGCAACTGTAATCTTCTTCATTATCATATTTTTTGTGCATTTAGGTGTGACAAATCTTTTGTGGCGTTTTAAAGTTTATATCCATGTGCCTCAATGTTGACGGCCTGTAGAAGTTGTAGCTGTAGCTTTCTTCCATATGTGGCTTTAATTGTGTTTCTGGTATTGCTTGCTTTTGAAAGTAAGGCGAGTGGCTGGTCCCGTGGTGTTATTCAAAACTTGAGATGCTCATCTTTTCTGCATTTCCTATACAATCTTACATCCTTATTCTTTATTTTCTTAGTTGACTTTTTTGTTTATTTGGGTTTTGATGCAAGCTTTTATTAATACTTGTGACTGGCTTAACTTGTTTTCCATTACAGCAAAAAGCACTTGAAGCTGCCATGAATGACATAAACAGCTCGTTCGGTAAAGGAAGCGTCACAAGACTTGGAAGTGCTGGTGGAGCTTTAGTGTCGGTTTATTTCATATTTCATTATTGATGATCTCTCTTTAGGATGTTAGTTACAATTCTCCTGGAAAAGAATGACCTTTAAGTCATTGTATGTCTATTATGCCACCAGATGAGGCTATTATGTTTTATGTTTATTATTGTTTGTTTAGCTGTACTTATTGCATGTGCTTCTGCTTTCTAGGGACTATTTAATTTGTTTGTTTGTCTATTCAGTCATCATCATTGCTTTCATCTCTTTCTGTCGGTACAGTGAAACTTTTCCGAGTGGCTGCTTGACGTTGGACTTTGCTTTAGGCGGTGGCTTACCCAGAGGAAGAATAGTGGAGGTCTGATATTTAGTAATTCATACCCTGTCTTTCTTTTATGTTATTTTTGTGAGGTTCTGAATAAGATGGACCTATTATTAGAAATTTCACGAGCATTCAACCTGAGTCACAAGATTTGATCATAAGTCATC